CTTCTCCTTCTCCTTCTCCTTCTCCTTCTCCTTCTCCTTCTCCTTCTCCTTCTCCTTCTCCTTCTCCTTCTCCTTCTCCTTCTTCTTCTTCTTCTTCTTCTTCTTCTGATCTTGCTATGTAGTTCAGGTTGGCCTTGGACTCAGTAGGAGCCCAGGTTGGCCTCAAACATGCAGTGATCCTCATGCGTCAGCCTCTGGAGTGCTGGGATTACAGGTGTGAGCCACCAGGCCTGGCTTCTTATGATCACTTATATGGTACCAAAGGAGTCCTAAATATGAGACTCGAGCCTTGACCCACCCCCAGAGTTTTAGAGTCATATTCACCTACATACTGGGATTTTTGCTAAAATGCTCCACAAGAAACTCAAGTCCACCAGTAGGAATTAAACTTACGCTATATTTTTCTTTATAAATTTAGTCTGATGTTCCCATCTTGCCTTATTCAATGAGTATGATCCCATTACTCAATCAGAAAACTGAATGTAATAATTCCCCCCACACACACCTTCTCTTGGAGTCATTAAGTGCTTGTGTGAGTCAGAATTCTAAGAAAACTTAAAGAATAACCTGGTATTTTTTTTTTGAGACAGGGTCTCACTATGTAGTTCAAGCTGGCCTTGAACTCGCTATGCAGCCCAGGCTGCCCTTGAACTTTGTCTTCTAAATGCTGGGACTACAAATGTGTGCTACCATTCCTGACTAACATGGTAAATTTTTAACCATAATCCATGTACCATGGTATTATGCCCTATACTATTCTCTCCCCTTACTATAAGACAGGAAGTTTGACCTGCTTACATTCAATAAAATACGGCAAAAATGTTGGCATGTCGATGTTAAGACTATATTATATGACTCCATGTTAGCAGACTTGAATAAGAGAAATTCCCTTGCTAGTTTTAAAAATGGTATCCTGAGGTAAGGAAGCCATGTGGCTGGCTTGCTGAGAACAGACCCTGGGTGAAGTAAAAAAGGAAAAACAGAAATCTTATTCATACAGCCATGGGAGAAACAGGCTGCTGTAGACTTGGATGGTTGGCTTCCCAATATTCACAGAGAATGACTCTTCCTAAAGTTTCGCTTATTATATAGGATAATATTGGGTTTGGGGTTGAAATAAAAAGTAATCATAAACTTGGAGAATAGGAAGCATAATACATAAAGTTTTCCGTCTTTTATTTTTTAAAATAAAAAAAGAAACACAACTTTGTAGACATCTGCTCTTTACTTTTCTATACAGATGAGCTGTAAGCACTCAATTCAAATCACTCACAAAAACAAAAGTTTAGAATACTTAGCTTGAATTCGTGTAGAATACAATCTTTTTATGTAAATCCATGTCATTTCTATTAAAATGAAATTCACTGATTTTCATGTTTGAGGCATGTTACATTACAAGATACTCAAATTCAAATATATTTTACGATAAATTTTAGCATCTGGGTAAAGTCAAAGATGAATACATGAAAACCCTATATAACCATCTAGATTTGTCTTACTATAATTTTTAAAACTTTCAAAACTTTTACATTAGATGTAAAATTACATCTAATCATTAAATGAACTGCAAAATGTATTTTTCATTTACCTGATGTTTCACTTTCTGCCCAGAGAGCTGCAGATCCAGACAAAGTCCTTTGCAGGTGCCCGCGGCTTCCTTGCTTAGATTGAAGATGGTCGATGAGAAATGGGATCGGCTGGTCAGGTGTCTCAGTTATTAACTTGGTCATTAACTCCTGGAGACAGAAGAGAGCACACACTGGCATCTAATAACAACAGCAAGAATTACAACAAACGTGATCTTAGAATTTATTATTGTCAGTCACTTCTCTAAACATTTGTATGCAGCCACTAACTTAATGTTAGTGAGAATATCTTCAGGCAAATATGAGTTATTGTTCTGACTTTTAGGATAGTGAATTACAGATTAGTAAACTATTTACATGGCTAAAAACCCCACATATATTTATTTATATTTATGTTTATTATTCTACCTAGCCAAGGACATACTACAACTTATTAAAATTATTTTCAAAAGTATGGACTCAGCATTTTAAATTTCTGGTATTGTTTTGGGATATTCTATTTCAAACTAAGATGCAGCTAAAGTCTATCATATACTTTCTATAGTAATGTCATTTTTCTTTCTTAACTGTATATTTAAACATCCCAAAGTGAAGAAAAATTTTTGGAATGAAAGAAGCAATAAGATACTGACTCACAGAAACCAAAAGCATGTCTTAAGTAGTTTCCAAATAATAGAGAATTTTCTTCTTACAAAAAGCCCTGTTAGGTAAATTTTCTTATCCTCGTCCCACTTCCTTCCCTCCAGCCTTTTCCTTCTCTCTCTTTCTCTCTCACTTTAGCAATAGTGAGGTCTCTACCTGCAAAACAGGATGCTCTATTTTTAAACAACTCTAATGATACCTTAAATTGCGGTGTAATCTGCCCACGGATAATGTCTACATTAGTTTCTCTGGTCAGGAAGAGCAAAAAAGGATCTCCAGTTTATGGTGAATTACAACCCTCAGATTGTTTGGACATGAACAGCTGTCAAGCCACGTGGATGATATTTTGTGCCGTGGAACTGGGTTTATGAACTTGCATGCACCATTTTACATTCCTGTCCATCACATTTTATATGGCTGGGCTTTGCCAAGAATTCTAGTCCATCAGTTGTTATTTTAAACTCAGATTCCATGAGCAACAGTCATTCTAATGAGCCGGCCATAAAAATCAGATGGGTATCAGGGGTCCTAGTGGAAGGAGGACTTGACAGTGTGTTCATGGTGGGCTGTGTTCCTCTGCCTTGAATGTCCTGCCAGGTTTTCAGATGGCAGGCTTCTCATCAGTCAGTCTCCAACGATAAGAAGTATAATCAAAAGATACTGTGAGCACTTAAATTTTAAAACTCTATTACAGTAAATGATATCGTGCCATTAATCCCCCAAAACACTGCCCCTCACTTCAGACATGCTTATTCCATCCTTCTTGCCACTTTCTGAAGCAGTTCTGAAAGTCCTGTCTAGTAAGTGTCTTCAGTTGTGTTGTTGTAGCTGCCTTCATGTCCCAAATCGCTTCGGAAGGTTTATTTTCCACAGTCACTTTGACTTTAGGGAAGGGTCAGAAGGTGCACAGTGCCAGGTTCAGTGAATATGAAGATGAAGAAGGCACTCATGTATTTACAAGCCTGCCTCTCCATTGGGCGGAAGCTGGGGAGCAGCACTTACTTTAATTTCGTCACACTTCATAAGGATACCAAAGAACACTTGCAGAAATGCTTGAGTATTGTGAGAAGGATCTGCGGCAATATGTCTTTCACTGTAACAAAACTTTCTATACATTTCAATCTTATCTGGTACCTTTAAAGAGAGGCTCTCCCTGGGTAGGCCTCACAAGTTATTTTATTTATCACATTTAGCACTCTTCAGAGTCATTTCGTTAAAGATTTTCTCACCTGTTTGTTGCTTTCCCCTTTTGCAAGTACTAAGAACAAGGGCTTGCCCGGCTTGAGCTCTACTCTCTCCCTAGAGGATTACCTAGCTCAGAGTTGGCAAATAGTGAATAAATGAATGCTTGATTGATTGGCTAAAAGTAAATATAAGTACTTAAAATACCTTATTGTATTAATAAGTAACAATTAAACACTCATAAATTTTTCAGTACAGCCAAATACAATTTTCTGATCTCCAGTACAAGAAAATGCCATCATTATTTCAGATCTATTTACTTACATTTATAACCACCTAGAAACACTCAAATTTATCTAAGTAGAGGCCAAATTAGTTGTATACATGACAAGACCAACCCTAAGTTGATTTTAGAGACATGAATAAAATCACCGGATCTCCAAATCATGCAGATTGAACAGAGCTGGAACTCAAAAGCACAAAGGGCTTCTACCATCAGTATACTACAATGCAAAGTATTTACCAAGCAAATGTGGTAATTTTATATGCTGTAAAATAGGTAAGCAAACAACCAGTTGCCATAGGTCTTAATTATTTCTGCTATGGAAACATCTCAATTAATGTCTTGATAAGTAAAGTGCCCTTCTGTTGTTGTAATAATAATCATGAAGTAAAACAGTGGTCAATTACACCCCAATTATACATCAGTAGGATACAATTTAACATTTCAGATGTTGCATCTTTACAAGAGATGTAATACATTGTATTTGAAATCACTCTACCTTACAAAGGCCACTGGAAGATAGAAAGAAAGTTAAGCAAAGAATTAACTAGACTATTCATCGAAGAAAAACTGGACAGTAAGATTAAAAAATAGGTCAGGGAAGGCTGCATATCCACAGTACTTTCTCTCTTGAGACTTCAAGAGATCCCATGTGCTTTCCTATTTTTACATTGTTACCCTTTAAACTGGATAGAAAGTTTCTATATTTTTATTCTTCTAAAATAATGAATAAAATGTACCTATGTTCTCTTTAGAAGCTGGATTAAACATAATAAATTGAGTAATCTCTATTACATTTTAAAAATATTATCAGTCTAGTAATTAGTTTTGGAAACCTTTATATTCCATTAATAAGTATATGAGATTAAAGACATGAAATCCATTCAGTCATAAGCAAAATGAAAATAGTTAATGTTTTGCAATAGGGTATGTTAAGTACCTTAATTGGGCAAAAGACCAGTTTTAGACAATTCTATTTAAAAGAGGAATGATCCTGTCTCTCACTTAATCCATGCATCCATTGGCATTAGGACTCAAATGGTTCTGAGGACTTGAGCTTGCCAAAATCCCTTCCTCAGGCATGAAAATTTAAATCCTTAGATTTGCAAATATGTTCCTGGCAATAAAAAGATTGATTTCTTTCCACTGCTAGGACTTAGAAATACAAAAATAGATCTGAGGAGCTGATAGATTTGAGGAGGTGAGAATAGCGTTGTGCAGCTAGATGTAGCAGGATACTGATTCCAGGCACTTTCACAAGGATCATTCATCAGAAGAAGAAAAATATTCCCGATCATTAAGCCAGTCTCAGGTACAGAGGCTGAACATCTTAGGGAACAGTGTCTAGGGAGGGACAGGAGGCTCATCTACAGTTCTTACTATTAGTGTAAGAGTCATAGCATGAAATTCTCTGGGAGATTTTGGCTGTGAGTATACATAACCTATAGAAATGTTAATAGGACTATTGATGTGAAACAAAATATTTATGGACATTCTAGGCTAAAGATATGGGAATTGATAAAATGGATGTCTTAATTTTAACGTGATCCTGTTTACACATGCAGGCTAGATATACCTAGGGCATACAAGTTGCAAACAAAACATAGTAGCAGTTGTCATCAGCAGAAGATCAAATGCATAGAACATTGGTAACTATTACAAAATGCAGTGGAAGATACATGAGATGGTAGTGATTAGACATTCAGTGTTTAAAACTAGATGGACATTGGGAACCTTTATATTCTATTAATAAGTACATGAGATTAAAGACATGAAATACATTCAGTACATGTATCTCCTATTTACTAGCACTATGACTTTGAGCAAGGCATTAAGTAATTTTAATATGCAATAATCCATTGGCTAATTATGAATAATAATAATAATAATACCTACATCATTGGGTTGCCATGGAGATTGAAAAGCTAATGACAGCAAAGCATTCACAAAGGGCTTGAGTTATACATAAACCTTCATGATAGACTGTCTATCACTTCCTTCTAAAACTGGGATATCGATCCTTTACCTCCTTTGTTAAATTGATTCCTAAGTATTTCTTTTTAATTTTTTTTGGATGCTATTGTGAAGGGTGTGTTTTCACTTTTCTCTCTCAGTGAGTTTGTTATTTGTGTACAAAAAATGCTATTGACTTTTGAGTATTGACTTTGTATCTAACCACACAACTAAATGTGACTCTAGGAGTCTTTCGGTGGAGTTTTTAGGGTCTTCTATGTAGAGTATCATGTCATCTGTAAATAATGATAGTTTAACTTCTTCCATTCCTATCCTTATTCCTTTTATTTCTCTCTCTTGTCGTATTGCTCTTGCTAATGTTTCAAAACTATGTTGAATAGGAGTGGTGATATTGGATATCCTTATCTTGTTCCTGATTTTAAAGTCAAAGCTTTCAGTTTTGGTCCATTTAGTATGATGTTGGCTGTTTGTTTGTCATATATGGCTTTTATCAAATTGAGATAGAAACCATCTATTTCAATTTTCTGAAATATTCATTATTATGAATAAGTGCTGGACTTTATCGAAAGCTTTTTCTGCACTTATTGAGATGACCGTGTGATTTTTGTCTTTGGCTCTGTTGCTATGGTGTACTACATTTTTGATTTGTATATGTTGAACCATCCCTGTATTTCTGGGACAAATCCTATCTGGTCATGGGGTATAATCTTGATGATTCATTAAATTCTGTTTGCTAATATCTTATTGAGGATTGTCGTATCTATGTTTATTAGGGAGATTTGCTTGTTGTCCTCTTTTTTGGTTGTATCTTTCTCTGGTTTTAGTGTCAGTGTAATACTTATCTCTAGGAATGAGTTAAGGAGTATTGCTTCCCTTTCAAATTCATTAGAGTTCAACGAGTATTGGCATTAAGTCTTCTCTAAATTTCTTGTAGAATTTAGCAGTGAATCCATCAGACCTGGGCTTTTCTTTGTTGGTACGTTTTTAATTATATTATCAATCTCATGAACTGATATAGGTTTATTGAGAATATTTATATCTTCATGATTCAGCTTTGGTAATTCATACG